GGGGGGGGGGGGGGGGGGGGGGACCAGTGGTAGCTACGTACCTGTCGGTCGTTGAAGAAGTTGACGACCCTCTGCAGCATCCGCACCGACGTGGCATCCACGTCGTTGATGCTAGACGCGTCAACGATGAAGGCATGCACGCCCTGACCATCATCATCCATCATGTCATGCACACAAACAAACAGCCACACAGCCACACGGCACCAATCGACATAATGCGCTGGGCGCCTCTCCGCAGGTGTGGTGTGTCTTTCTTTTGCAGCGAGCAGGTTTGTTTGTTTACGTCCAGTTTGATAGACTTGATCTTGGCCTCAAAATAAGCGGCGTTAGAGAAGTTGAGCGAGGCGTCGAATCGGAAAATCTTCACACCCGGCGGCTCGACCGCAGTGGGGAAACGCTTCAAATTCCGATACACTGTCGTCCCTGCACACGCACACGCACATCCATCCCTCTGTATGTGTGTGTGTGTGCGTTGTTTGTCCTCCTTCACCCACACAACACACACAACACACACACACGCACCTGGCAGCTGCCCGAGGAGAGCGGTGAATGGCCGTGAGGTCTTCTTGAGCAGCCACAGGAGCGAGAGGATGACCGACATCATGACCCCCTCCATGGCACCCAGCCCCACCGTCACGCAGAAGCACACCAGCCACAGGGCGAAGTCGGGGCCGCCCAGACGGAACAGACGATAGGCCTCCTGCACCACACACACACACACACACACACGGACAGACAGACACACCTGAGTGGAGTGAGTGGATGGTATTTGTGTGTGTATGGGTGTAGGGGTGTGTTTAGCCACCCTGAAGTCTATCATGCCGTAGACACCGAAGAGGACGACAGATGCGAGGATGGTGTAGGGGAGGTAGTACAGCAGCGGCGTGATGGCGAACAGCGTCAGACACACCACAGCTACCGACCTGTGGCGGTGGGCACCACCACACACACACACACACGAGCATGTGTGTGTGTGTGTGTGTGTGGTGGGGGCATGGGGGGATGGGGGGATAAGCCTTACGGGACGTTGTGCAGGATGGTTTTCCCTCCGATTGAGTAAATGACCGACGTGCGTGACAGCGACGTGGCGCATGGGAAGCACTGGAAGAACGACCCAAGCGTGTTGGCCACACTCAGAGCCACCAACTCCTGCTCGCTGTCAATCTGGCGACCATCCATCCATCCCACCACAACAACCGTCGTACGCAACGACACACACACACACACACACCTCCCCTCCCTGATGTGTCGCTGACCTTGTAGTCTAGCCGTGCCGCAACGGTCTTTGAGATGCTCATGTGGATGACGTAGAACATGACAGCGATGGGGATGGCCTCCTGCAACAGCGGCACGAAATAGTTGGTGCTGCCCGTGGGGTTGAACGACGGCAACGTGGCGGGCGGGAAGCCTATCAGTCACCACACACACACACACACAGACACACACACACACACACAGAGCGAGGGAGAGTTCGATGCATGTGTGTGGTGTGTGTGAGGGGGGAGGGGGCTGATATGTGTGTGTGTGTGTGTGCCTAGGCTTATTTGCCTTGTGGAATCTCTTTGAGGGTTTTGACGTTGAACGGCGGCAGGTCGAGTCGGAAGAGGTAGGCCAGGAGGGTGAACAGAATAACGATCACCAGCTGACCTGCACACACAACACACGCCACAAAGGCAAAGGCATCGGTGGCGCAGGGAGGGCGACAATGGGCAGAGGCGTGTGTCACACGCATGACGGGGGGTACCCGGTAGGTTGAACTTGCGGAAATACTTGCCGTTGAGCCACTTGAAGAACACCAGTATCAGGATCCCACACACACCTACACACACAACACACACCAGACAACAGACAACACACGACACAAGAGGATGTGCGCCATCTCTCTCTCTCTCTCTCTCTCTGTGTGTGTGTGTGTGTACCGATTCCGAGAGCCATCCAGTTGGTCGATCCGATGTGTGTGAGGCAGTACCACCAGGTCATGGGGGTATAGGGCGTTCGGGGGTACACCACACCAAACAAATGCTTCAGCTGCACATCACATGACAGAACACACACAGGTCAACACACAGCATAGATAGACCCATCATCTATCTGTGTGCAGTGAGTGTCCAGGAAGAGCACAGCACCTGTGAGGTGCCGATGAGGAAGGCTGACGCAGTGGAGAAGCCCGACAGGATGGGATCCGCCAGGAAATCAGCCACCTGCACACACCACACACATACACACACACACACACAGAGTACAGCCACCCCTCCCTCCCTCCATCCCTCCCTCCCCACCCCTCTCTCTCTCTCCCTCTGGCGTACCAGGCCCACTTTCATCAGCCTGAGGGCCATCATGACCACCCCCACCGAGACCGAGAAGGCTATCGTCACGGGGATGCGCACCTCCATCGGCGCGTCCCAGCCGATGACGCTCGCAACCGCCTCGGCACACAGCAGATTCTCGATGGCAGACACCCCCAGGGAGGCGTGGTGGCTCGTCCCGAAGAAGGTGTAGATCAGCGGGAAGAACAGACCGTTGTAGAGGCCGTATACGGGCGGCATCCCGGCTAACAGCGCATAGGACATTCCTGCACACACCACACCACACCAGACACACACAAGGGATAGAGAGAGAGAGGGAGGGGGAGGGAGGGAGGGAGGGGGAGGGGGGAAGTCCCTCCTCTCGCTGGTTGATTTACCGACCCATGGGTATGGCCATGATGCCCTCAGAGAGGCCGGATGTGATGTCGTCGCACATCCACTGCTTCTGGTAGGTCTTGACCACCCCTATAATGGGCAGAAACCGCTGCACCGACAGCCCCTTGAAGCACCCCTTAAAGCACGACGTCAAGGCCCTCCCCACAGAGGGGTTCGTCGGCTTCTCCTCAAGCGCGTGCAACTCGCTCTCCGTCCGCAGCCGCCACAGAGGGGGCAGTGGCTGGATGGACGGCACGCCATCGAGCTGCCCCAGGTGCCCCTCAAGCGTGCTGCTGACCACCTTCCGCGCGCGTGATCTCGACGAGAGGTCCGGCGGCGAGCTGCCGATGAGTGGCTCGATCATCATCTCGTGCGTGTGCCCGCTGCTGGACTCGCCGTTGTTGCTGCTGGTGGTGGTGGTGGGTTTGCCGATGACTGCCGGGTCGGGCATCGTGCCTGTGGATGCGGCAGTGCTTGCGATGGTGTAGGAGGACTGCTGCTGGTGCGCGTGTAGGGGCGTGAAGGCTGTGGCACCCGCTGCAGCTGGCGAAGCTTCAGCTGCTGCTGTGGCTGTGGGAGAGCGGTGCGCCTTACCGTGCTGCTGTTGGTCGTCGTCGTAGCTGCTATAGTCGTCCTCCGATAGATCGGGGAGAGAGGGGTCCCACAGGAGCGGCGCTTCAGTGTACGACGCTGGGTACATTCATGCGCACCATCACCGACAACGGACAGGCACACAGCACAGCCTGAATGGAATAACGAACAACACACACATACAGAACACACAGCTTGACAGGCAGACGCGGCTTGCTTTCCGCTGCCTCGTTTACTCTCTCTCGCCTCTCACCTGTCACAGTGCTCTCACAGCCATCAAACGCTCTGGCGGCGTTGACATGTTGCAGGGTTAGCTAGGGCCTAGGGTTTGCAGCAAACCGTGACTGAACCCTGCAGAGGCCAGAGGGGGCCTCGCATCTGATTTTGCCAGTGGCCGTCTGTGCGCCGGCATGAAGCGCACGGTGAGCGAGGGTGAGGGCGGCGGGCGCAAGGACGGCATACTCGGCGGCAACGACGAGGCGGCCGTCGGGCCGCACCAGGCCATCCGACTCGCACTGCTCGGCGCAGGGCCTTACGGTAGTGAGAATGAAATGAAGAATGCACCTGCGGCTGGATGGATGGATGGCCGTGTGTGCGGTGTTTGTGATTATTGTCCACACACGCCTGCAGCTCGTGAGATAGTGGTGCCGATTCTGCTGCAGCTGCCGGCCTTCCACCTCAAGGCCGTCTGGTCCCGCACAGAGCGGTCGGCGGCCTACCTCAACAGCCTCAGTGCGGGCGGGTCGCTCGAGACCTACTGGGGCGGACACTTCTTCAGGAACGAACTCACGCCAGAGAAACAGCCATACCAGCAATGCCATCAGGAGGAGGGCAAAAATGGTGGCAGTGGTAGTGGTGGTGGTGGTGGCAAGGAGGAGAGTGGCGGTGGGGGAGAGGGCGCTTCAGGGATGGGTAGCAGTGACAACACCAGTAGGGGGCTGGAGGACCTGCTGCGGCGGGCTGACATCGACGGCGTTGTCATTGCGCTGCCCGGGCTAGTCACCGTGAGGGACAGAGAGAGAGAGAGAGAGGCCAATGCAATTCCATCTGTGTGTTCTCTGTGCTGTGGCGAGTAATGCCTCTCTCTTCTCTTCTCTGTTTGTGTGCAGCCGTCGTTTGTGTTGCGAGTGTTGCGTGCGGGGAAGCACGTCTACAGCAGCGGGCCGATAGCGCTTGACGAGAAGACGGGCGCCAGCCTGATGCAGATGTACCACGCCAAGTTCGCCGCCAAACTCACATGGTCCGTCGGCATGGACATCAGATACGAATCGGCGTTCACCAAGGCAAGCTAGGGATGGAAGGGAAGGAAGGCACACACACACACACACACACACACACACACAAAGGCCTGCAAAGACACACACACACACACAAAGGCCTGCAAAGACACACACACACACAAAGGCCTGCAAAGACACACACACACACACAAAGGCCTGCAAAGACACACACAACGGATGGATGGATGGATGGAGGGGCGTGTTGGTGTGTGGTGTGTGTGTGAAGGTGCGGATGATGCTGCCTGATCTAGGAGATGTGTTGGGCGCGCAGCTGCTGGGTAACTTGGGTTGGGTGGGGCCGTGGGATCCTGTGCAGATGGATGACGCCGCTGTGTGTGTGCGTGCGCGTGTGTGTGATGCAGCTGTTCGTGCGGTCGGTGCTGGCGACCACGCCACACTCGCACACCTCCGCAAACAGGCCAACCAGCCTGGTGGGTTCACTCGCCCACTACACACACACACACACAGAGAGAGAGAGAGAGAGCGAGAGAGATGTGTGTGGTGGTGGTTTTGGTGCCAACCAACAGGTGGTCTGTTGCGTGAGATGCTGATGCCGTATGTGGGCATCATGCGCAAGATACTAGGTGGGGAGGGAGGATGCACTGCACTGCACGTGTGTTGTGTGTCGGGTCGGTCACACACATCGATGTATGTGGTGTGATTGATGTGCGATTGTGTGTGTGTCGACAGGCGACGTTGCGTGTGTGGCGGCGTTCCCGTCACGACACAACGAGTTGTTCAGCACTTACGGTGGGTATGGGTATGGTATCCCTTCACGCTTTCATGCCGTCCAGTCCACACACCACATAAGTGTAAGTGTGTGTGTGTGTGTGTGTTGTGGATGGATGGATGGCGATATAGATACGTTGGATGGGGTCATCTACTTCGAGTCGGGCACCTCGGCGACGGTGAGCGTGAGCCTGGCCAGCCAGGGGCCCTCCTTCCTCCTCACTGTCACCGGCACCAACGGCAAATTCGTAGTCAAGAATAACACCATGCAAGGAGGTGTCCTGCTGTCCACACCCACACACACCCACAGACACACCCACAGACACACATCGGGTGTATATGTGTGTGTGTGTCTGCCAGGTTACACCGTTCAGCGTTGTCTGCAGCATTTCGAGCACCCCATGCTGCACCCAACATCTGGCACGGCCTTCGCCATCCAGGTGAGGTGGGTCGCACACCACACCACACCACACGACGCAACACAACACGACACAGGCAATCGATCAACTGCCCCAATTCTATGGGCGGTGTGTGTGTGTGTGTGCGTGTGTAGGCGTGGGGCGAGGCCGTGCGCCACGAGCAGCCCGACGTCTGGAACACACCAGTGCAGGTCAGCCAGCCAAGAGACCCAGAGGCAGGTTGTGGAGTGGATGGAGATGCGATGCGATGCCGAATTCCATTGCATTCATACCAGGCGTTGCACGATCTGTCGGTGTCGATGACGTTGGCGCAGTCCAAGGGGATGCCCATCCGGTTCAGGGAGAAGGGGCCCAACTGACACACAACACACAACACAACACAACACACCATCAAGGATGGAAGGACGTAGCGAGCGACGGACGGACGGACGACGGACGGACAGACACCACACCTAGGGGCCTGCCTGCCTGCATGCCTGTGTGTATCTGTGTGTGTCTGTGTCTCTATGGGGTGCGTGTGGTGTGCATAATGATGAGACTGACTGGTTGGTTGGCTTCCCGCATGGTTGTGAGTGTCTGTCGTGGCCAGTGGGGTGGGGTGGGCGGGGGGGGGCGGGGCGGCTGAATGCTTAGACGAACACAGGGCTGGGCTGGGCTGGCAAGACAAACGATAAACTATTACTGCAGGCAGGCTGTCAGTGAACACGAACACACAACGACACGCAGCCTCCGCACAGCCGCTCGCACAGACAGAGGAAGGAGATCTAACCCACCCGCCATAAAGATGATAACTAACGCACATCCCATCCCATTCGCAGCGCACACACAGCAGTCAGTCCTCTCTCCGCCCATCCCTCCCTCCCTCTGCTCTATCTAATTCGCTACTTTGTTTCATTCTACCAGAGCCAGCCCAGCCAGCCAGCAACTCAGATCATCTACCGGTCAGTCAGATCAGCCAGCCATCAGTCGTCGCGCCCCTCACTACCAATCGCAAACGTCGACGCGAAGTCACCACCGCCACCACCACCACCCTGCCCCTCCTTCTGCAGGGTGTCCTCCCGGCCGCTCTCGTCATCGTTGCTTTCGGTGCTGATGGCGATGGCGGGGATGACTCCCTGGTGCTGGTCTGTGTGGTGGTCGTCTGACAGAGGGGGAGGGGGCGGCGGCGGCGGGAGGACCGGAGAGATCGGAGAGGGGGCGGAGTTCTGCAGCTCCTCCTGCAGGCAGCACATAGACAGACACCACACTTCACACACATATGGCTGGATGTGGTGGTGGTGGTGGTGGTACCATGAACGGAGCGGCGAGTCTGACGAGCTTCTGGTACTCTGTCTTGAGGGTGGAGAGGGTAATTGGGGCCTGCCCTGGCGGCTGCTGGTCTTCGCCATCTGCTGCTGCTGCTGCTGCTGCTGTGGCGGGCAGCTGACAAGATGTCACGTCACGCACACAGACATGGTTGTGGAGGGGATGGGGGGCGGATGGCATGGCGAACCTCACCTCATCTCACCTGCTGTATGAGTGTGGAGTGCTCCTGCTGGAACTGCATGACGTCGTCCCATATCAGCTCGAGCTGCGCTATCGCCTTGGCCAAGCGATGCCTGACATCACATCACATCGAATCGATGGGGGATAGATAGACATGTCAGTCACGTCAGATCAGACACAGGACAGGCAGAGAGAGAGAGAGACAAGACAGCTAGCTGTGTGCCCTGTCCTGTGTGGCCACCACACACACAAAGAAAAGTCACCTACCGGAGGTCGAAGTCCACAGCGTCGATGGGCCGCTGCTCGACGCCCACAGCAGCCATGGTGGCCTGAAAACCATGCAGCCACCCACACCACACGTGTGCCAACCACTCCATCCGACCATCCGTCTGATCTCTCCGACCCACCGCACCCACCGCAGATTTCTCTCGGTCCTTGACCATGTCCACATAACGCTGCAGCACCTCCCCCTGCCGTTGTGTGTGTGTCAGTCAAGCCATCCATCCATCCATCCAGCAAGCCATCCATCGCACATCAATCAGTGTGCATGGCAGTGGCAGTGGGGCGGTGTGTGTGTGTGTGTGTGTACCTGGTGTGTAATCCTGGCCATTTGGTACTGAAGGTGTCTGCGAATGACGTCCTCTACCATCGACTTGAAATTCGACGCCTTGCCGGCGATGTCTGACGACTAAACACACGGACAGAGAGAGAGAGAGAGAGACCACAGACAGCGATGTGTGCATTTGTTTGTGTGTGCCGTGTGGGGACGGTGTGTGTACCATTTGTTCGTTGACTTTGACGAGGTCGACCTGCGCCGCGCCAGCCAGCTTCTGCAGCTGCTCTGTCGCCTCCTGCTCCTGCACACACACACACACACACAGAGAGAGAGTACAAACACACCTGTGTGGATGCTCTCTGCCTGCCTGCCTGCCTGCCACACGGCGCAGCGCCTGCCTGTATCGATTCGTGTCTGAGTTGTTCCTCGGTATCCATCTTGCCCTCGAAGCGCTTCCGCAGTGTGCTCAGCTGGTGCCTGACGCTGTCGGTGCGGTGCATGTGCTGTCGCTGCTTGTCCGTCAGGTTCACGATCTGCTGCGTGACGTCCTCCAGTTGCAGCTGCACGACAGACACCAACAGAGAGGTCTCTCTCTCTCTGTCTCTCTCTGTGTGGGTGTGCCTCTCTGCTGACCTTGAGCGCTTTCTTCTTTTCTTCGAGCGTTTCGAGCTGACTGTCGATCTCAAGCCGCTCCTCGTCGAGACCCTGCCACCGAGACACACACACACACACACACGTGTGGCATCCTGATCTGATTGGTGTGGTCCATGTTGGTTGGTGTGTGTTATGATGTGTGTCCACACCCACCCTGAGTGTGTGTGCGAGCCCCTCTGATGCCTTCTCCATCTCCGTCTGCAGGGCCGCCCTGACACACACGGAACAAACAGCCTCACATAGATCAATCAGATCGAGGGTGTCGGAGGATGACTCACTTCCTGTCGACGGTCGAGTGTGCGTTGTCCGACAGCTGGCTGATGTGGTGCTGCAGCCACGGCACACACCCACGACAGACAGGCAGACCTACCTGTCCGTCACTGTGTCTCTCGGTCTCTCTGCCTGTCTGTCTGTCTGTGAGTGCCTGCATACCTCCACAGCCGTGCGCAGGTGAGTGAGCTGCGTGGCCGTCTGATCCGTCACATCCTTGCGACGCACAGCTGCATCACACACACACACACACGTGAGTGTGTGTGTGTATGTGTGTTAGCTTCATGACACACAGATGCACAGCACACGGACTTCACTTACATGACTGTTGCAGGCTGTGCATGAGCGTCTTGTAAGTGGCCACCAGCTCAGCCGAGGCCTTGACGCGACGAGCGTGAGTCTGGCTGCACACACAGACACACAGACACACAGGCCGCCAGGGAGTGATAGGGAGGCAGCACGTGTGTGGCCATACAGATGCACACTCGCATGCGTGATACCATACCAAGCAGTGTCGATGAAGCTGTCGTCTTTCTCCTGCAGTGTCGCACCACTGGGCGGCACACTCATCCTACTCATTGCACACACAGAAGAGACCACACACAGAGCAGAGGTTAGGTTCTCTCTCCGAGCACAGCACAGCACAGCACAGCGCAGCACAGCACAGCACATGTGTGGTGTGCGCACTGGTGAATGGCGTGTTTCAGCTGCTCGGTGCGAATGGCGAGGTCCCGCCTCTCCTCCTGGTGATGCTCGTCCTCCCAGTCATACTTGTACAGTGACAGCAATCCCAACAACCTAACACACACACACACACACAGAGAGAGAGAGAGAGAGAGGGAGAGGGAGAGAGAGAGGCGTGTTCACACCCACACAGCCACAGCCATCCATCCATCGAGGCCATTTACTTTTGGAACTGCATGGTGTGCGAGGGGTCAGTGCTGAGGATGGCGTCCACCAGCGGGACAAACAGGGATGCGGGGGCCTTGAAGCACAGCGACAGCAGCTGGTGGAAATACACGCGGGGCGTCCCGCTCTCGCCTACAAGACAAGCATGCAGCGTCAGCCATCCCATGCACACACGCTGGCCCAGCTATCACTGGTCTGGATGGATGGATGGATGGATGAATGAATGTGGGCGCACCCTCGTCTGGCTTGCCCATGAGGTGTTTCTTGACATCATTCTGCCGCGCGAGAGTCGTCAGCGTGATGGGCAGCGCCTGGCAACGGAGGAACACCTGACCAACCGCACAGCACACCACACCACACCATACCACCCGGCAGTCCATCGCTCTTTCTCCTCTGCGTATGGCGCAGGTCTGCAGCCACCCCAGCCACCGACCTGTTTGAAGCTGAGGTCCTGCCCGGTGTGGTCGGCATCATGATATCTGGTGGATCCCTCCCGCCCCGACGAGAGGATCTGTGCGCTCAGTCTTTTGAACTCCTCGGCGTGAATCGGCAGAGAGTAGGGCTGACGCGCCTGCGTCTCCAGCTGACGCTCCTGGATACAACGACACATCGGGAGAGTGATCTCACTTCACACACAGACAGACAGACACAGACAGGCAGATGAGACTTTCTTACCAGCTCTGTGACGCTCAGGTGGGACTTGACGACTCTCAGGGCATCTCTGGCCTGCTGCACTCCCTCCTTGACAGTGTCCTTGACCTTATCGGCGCCCTCCTTGACCTTCTTGAGGAAGCTGCCCAGCGCCCCAGACGTCATCCTGAACTGACAGTAGATCTCACTGCGAACACCACAGATCAAGTATCCTGCAAGCTCGCCAATGGCTGGGGGTCTGGGGGCTCCCAGATCCGCACATCCAAGGAAGATGATGGCCATCCTTCTGACGGCTCTGCTTGCAAGCGGAGCTTTCATCGCCTCTGCGCGATGTAACGACGAATCCGTGTGCACAATGCCAGAATCATTTGCTTCAGATGCTTCTCATGCATTGCTTTGTGTCAGCCCCCCCTGCGACGAATGAGGCGGGCTTCAGGGCACTGTTCGGCACCTCCGACTTCGTATCTCCTACGTGTGCCTCGACGATAACCGTCACGAGTGCTGCCGATTCAGGAGTCGGCACGCTGAGAGAGGCGCTTGGCATGTTGGAAGCCCAAGAGCCGGACACAGAAGAGACCACCCGCTCTATTCGCGTCAGCTCAAGCGTCACTCAAATCAGCCTCCAAAGCACTCTCCTCTTCAAGGGGCGCAACGTCTATTTATTCCCTCAAGACCTCAACAATGCAGACTCTTTCCCTCTTATTAAGGCCCCAGACAAAGCTGACTTGCTCACGACCGAGGGAACGAGTAACTTCACTATTGCTGGCGTTCGCTTCACGAACAAAGGCGCGGACCACGACTACACTACATATTCCATGATTCTTCTCAAACCGGCGAGCAATATCAAGACAAGTGTGGCCTTCTATCGAGTGTCCGTTGGAGTGCAGCAATCCGGACACCATCAGCTTTAGAGCCGTAGACATTGACACTGGGGGATCAGAAAAGGATACCATTGATGTCTCGTTCTAAGAGTCGGCTTTCCACGGAAACGAAGGCATCGTAATAGACCGCGCCTATCGCGGTGCTACCTATCCGCCACGCAGAAGAGTCGCTCTGAAGAATACCTCGATTTACGGAAATCGAATCTATGACGGAGAGGGGAGCTGCACCTCTTGCTATTACGCTCTTATGGATATCTCTCAATGCAGCGCACTTATTGATCATACAATCTTCGACAGCAACGAGGCTGTAGGAACCTCAAGCCAATCCGGGGATGCGCCAATTCTGAAGCTTGGGGACCGGAAGTCCGAATATGTGATCATTTGCCAATCGACTTTCCAAAACAACCACAATAGAGAAGCCTATTACTGGGCGAGTCATCACATCGTCGAAATTAGAGCGTATGAGGCGAGTGTAATAGTCGAAAAGAGCATATTTACCGGCAACAGTCGGCAAAGTGATACTCGTAGCACATCTAACGACGGGGCTGCACTAAAAGTCTCATACCCATCCGGTAATGAAGATGCATGCACTGGAAAATTAAAGCTATCTCATATGGATGTGTATCCTATAGGTGATGTCGTGATCAGCGATTGCATCTTCGAGGACAACAAACCAGGCGCTATCTACATCGACAGCATGTACGACCAAGGAGGCTCGGTGACTGTCAGAAGATCAACATTTCGTCGGAATACGGCGCTAAGTGGTGATAGTGTTGATGAAGCAAACGACCGCTCTGCGATACGAGTCAAGGGCTATCGTCACGTTGAGATCGTGGACAACTGTTTCGTGGACAACGAGCTCACAACAATGATACACGCGATCGACCGGGATGAAGACCGCCTCGATACGGAGACATTCACTCTCAGTGGCAACGGGCTTGTACCAAGATCAGTGGGTGGTGGATCAGACGTGTTGTTCAAGTTTGAGAATCCCAATCAATACTATGCGGGGATCATTATCGGGACAAACACGCAACGGTGCGCCAATGTGTGTGGAAACGGCCTCGTGATGCCGGCAATCGAGACATGCGATGATGTCGGAACACCCGACGTCTCTGCGACACCAGAAAGCGGCGACGGCTGTAGTGCGTCCTGCACGATTGAGCAGGGGTGGGAGTGTGAAAATCAGGAAACTCACGGTGACGAGGGACACGGACCCTCTGTCTGCTCACGTGGGTGAAGACAGAAAAGAGAGACATAGGACATAGTGCTATGTCATGTTTGCCTGTTGGCCTCACGTGTATTTGCAGCTCGGCCGATGCTCCCCACCCTTACCACTAAAACCCCCAACAGCCGCATATTGCCTTTCGCAGTGGAAATCACCCTCTCCGAGCCAGCCAAATCCGGCTCTTTTGAGGTCGCTGATATTGCGCTATCTGGTGCTGCTGAGGCGTCTGTTACATCCCTACAAACCATCTCCAACCAGCAGTTCACTGCCAATGTGCAGCCTACAAGCGGTGGCAGCATAAGCATTCAGCTGGTCGCCGGTACAGTGGAGCTGCACAATGTGCCTGGCTACTTCAACCAAGATTCCAACCTTTTAACCGTAACCATCGGTGAGTAGGTGGACACACAATGCAACGAATGTACATATTCTTGTAATCTTTCAGATGCAATCAGACCGACTCCTGTCTTGACAGCAACAACAGCTTCTCCTGATGGCATCGTGAAGAGCGACCCTTTCAGCGTGACAGTGACATTTGATGAGCCAATATTGGCGTCGACACTGACTGCGAGTGACTTTGCCACTACGAACGCTTCTGTTGTCAGCATTAGCGAGCTGGGGGCCTCGAGCGACACTTTCAGCATTGGTGTAGCGCCAGATGCAGCGGGAGGGATACAAGTGCAGCTTCCGGAAGCCAGAACGGAGGACCTTGTCGGAAACCCAAACATGGCTTCAAACACCTTGACAGTCACATACGGTGAGCACACAAAAATTGCTTCCTTTCGCTTCTTCATGCATGCCTCTGCTGCTGCATTGCTCCAGAGATGCCACCAACCACAATCCCGCCATCGACCGTCAAGCCTCCCACCTCGCCACCGGGTTCGCCGCGGCATTGACTGGCATCAAAAGTGGCGAGATGGCCCTCTGCATCTGTATGTGTCAGACTCCGGTGGAGGGGATGTGCCACCAGACGGCGAAGATGGTGGCCCTGGCAATGGTGGCCCTAGTAATGGTGGCCCTAGTAATAATGGCCCTGGTAATGGTGGCCCCGGCGACTGTTATCGCCCTGATTGCCCTCCTTGCCTCTGCGAGGACGCTTTGGATAACATGTTTCCTCCCTGGCAAGAGGCAGACATTTCGTCTGGCGGAGCCGAGGGCGACCCGGCGGAAGGCTGCAGCACCAGACTTGGCACCGGTGGTCAGCATGGATTGCAGGAATCCGTGGGCAGGCATTTTCTTTCTGTGTCTATGTCTCGCACATGAGTTCGGAGTGTGTGTCTCATGCAGGGTTCCGTATTTCATGCAAGGACTCGCAGCACATGAAGACCATCAGTCTATCCGAGACCACTTTTGTCACCGTCCTCGAGGGCTCGACCAATGACGATACGCTCAGAGGCAATTCGAAAGACAACACTCTCATTGGCGGAGACGGCGACGACAGCCTAGCTGGGCGCGGAGGATACGACCAACTGATTGGTGGCCGAGGATCCGACACATTCGTCATCACAGATGAGCCGTGCGACGTGACGATCCTTGACTTCGAGACCGGCGCATCCCACGACAAGCTCAACCTGCGCATATTTCCCTCCATCACAAGTATGGAGGCCCTCGAGCAGCGGATGACGAGTGGCAGCGTGATAATCGACGTCGATGACACGCACAGGGTGACGATAGCGAACGTCATTCCAGAAGAGGTCCTCGATCCCACATACTTTCTCCTCAGCGAGGGAGCGGACGAGGCTAGAAACAATGGCGATGACGAATGCGGCTGGTTCACCTACAGCCGGCCCGAATGCGTCGACACCATTCTGTCCATCGTGCTTGGAATCGTCGGTGTTGCCGGCCTTGGGGTCGGCGCCTGGCAATTCTCACACAACTTTTTGAAGCGGGGCCAGAAGCCGACCGGGGCGGAGGAAAAGGGCGAAAAGGAGATGGACCCCCGCAAGCGATCGGTATCTGACACTCGAGACAGCCGCAAAAAGAGTTACCTCCAGAGCAAGTCCGAGAGGCGGGTGCCGCGCAGCGAACACCCCAACTTTGTCCAGACCCTGCAGGAGGACAAACCATCAGGAGATGAGAGCGGGACGTGCGGAAGGGTGGAGGATGGTGCTGTCAGCCGCGTCTGAACTTTGCTTTTGCGGTGGCCGAAGTTTTTCTTTCTTCTTTTTTCCCTTGTTTGTGCAGTCGGTCATCAGACAATTTGTTTTTATGCATGTCGGCCATCAGACGACTTTTGTATCATGTGTCAAGTCTGCTGCAGAAAGTGAATCTCTCTTGCCAATCAATCGACGAGTCACGCTGTGTGCCTCCTGTGTCGGCAAGCCGGTCCTTTGTGCTGTGTGTCCCTCCTTTCCTCCGGCTGGAGGATCTGGAGGAGTCATGCCGGCGACTTAAAGCAGAGTCGCCCACACTGCCAGACAAGCAGACGTGCGAGCAGGGAGATTTTCCTGCCTCCCATTTATTCTGCCCTCTCTGGTTGTGTGTCAGGCGTCGACACTCGACAGCAGTGCAGAGTGTTGTAGCCGGGCGGCACGCCCCTGTCGCCCCATCACCCGATGCCATTCGATGGGCAAGCGACGGACCATCGGCCAGAGAGACGCCCCAACGCACGCATTGCACACATATGTGTCTTGTCCGTCCGGCAGGTACGCCAACCTCACGGGCTTCGACATGGAGCTCAAGGAGAACTTCGAGATCGTTTGCTTCGTCGCTTGGCCGTGCGGAAACTTGTGTGAGCGGGACTTCTCCGCCAAATGTCCGCTCGGCTGGCGGCACCTGAGTGACGGCACGTGTCTCGCCCCCCTCTCTGTCTACCTGCCGGCCCGCGGCTTCGCAGCCTGTCCAACCCGCCGAAGATTTAACGACCTGCCGCCCGCCAGCGTGGCGAGCGCGGCGTATGAGTGTGAGCTGGACTTCTCTTGTCTCTCACGCAAGACGTGCACTCGCGACTACACCAGCAGGCACGTAGCGACACTGAATATAATGGCTAAGAAGAAAGCTATCATAATGTGTGTGCCTTCTGTGTGTGCAATTTCAGATGTCCGATCGACTGGATGGACGCGGGCGTGACAGCTGGCGGCGTGACCTGTTTGCCGCGCGCTGTCAGCAACAAAGGCACCTGCACCAACATCACCTTGGCACACGACGCATCCGATGACGTAAGGAAGTCACAAACCACATTTGCCGCATACACACACCCATGGTCCCATACGTATGTGCGTGTGTTGTGTTGTGTGTGCACTATAAAGGCCAAACGCAAGAAGGCCGCCGAATGCGACGCCGACTGGCCCTGGTCAGCCAGCCAGCCAGCCGGGCAGATGGACAGATGGGAAGGAGTGCACTAAAGTGCCTGCGTGTCTCTCCCTGTCTGTCTGTGTGTATTTGTGTCTATCTCGTCAGTGTGGGTGAGTACCGGTGGCTCAAGCAGCATCACCACGCCGCTGCAGCCACACACGCCCCCACTCGCTGAGCGAGCGGCATTCATTCATCAAGAGAACAAACAAGAGGACAGAAAGTGTGCGTGCATGACTGCACCGACAGGGAGATGGATGACCACCAGACCCGAATGCATTAATGCATCATGAGCGTATCCATCCATCCATACATCCATCAAAACTGATTGATACCATATCACACCCCACAGACAGACAGACAGACAGACCGACACACAGACAGAAAGACAGACAGACAGACAGACTGGCAGGCGATGATGGCACACACGCACACACAGGCCGTCCCCCTCCCCTCCCCTCCCCTCCCCTGTTGACCCCTGTGGACGTGAGCCTGTGTGTGAGTGTGTCTGTCTGTCTGCCACGCACTGCTGCACACGCGCATTCACATAACTAGGGTTTAGATGAGCACGTCGGCCGCCGCCCCGCCCCCCTGCAATGGGAAAAAGCCTCCAAAGCGAAAGTACTAGGGTTTGGGGTGAGGCATCATTGAAACGCGAGCTTTTGAGCTCGCAGGGGTCGCCACGGCTCTCTTACCCTCCCTTCTCCGGCGCCTCTCCTGTCTTCAAGGGCAGTGGGGGCTGCCCGGCTGGGGCCTGTGTTGTCTGGCGTGATTGTCTGTACGCTTGAAAAAAGTTTCGTGGGGCCCGCCTCACAGCAGAAGGCAACAACACGCCCATACCAAGATTCTGCACAGGTACGACAGCCACCATCCGATTCATTCTGTTGTCACCTGCATGATTGGTGTGCTGGCTTCAGAAAAACGATGCATAGTTTTGGTCAGCAGCCGTCTGCAGCCGAGAAGGAGCCTGTGACGCCTCCCCGCTGGCAGCAGATCCACCCGCAGGCCAAAAGCGTTATCGAGAATGCCAGCAAGCTCCTCGGGAACGCCTCACTCCGACCCACAGACGTCCACTGGCTCAACGCATTCATGGCCATTTGTATGTGTGGGCACAGCACACGTATTGTATTGCGTCCATGCGTCTGTCCATCTGTGCTGTGTTGTTCTGTGTGCATGGATGCAGCTTCGCAGGATGTCAATCAACACTTCGGGGCGGGTGTCTTTCTCCCACTGACGTCGCCTGAGGCCGTCCTCCACGCGTCGACCCTGCGCCAAGGTCAGCCACAGGCGACCCTGGTGCCACTTATCGCCACCACTCCTGTACCTGCACCTGCACCTGCACCAGCGCCGCCCATGTATAATACCAACACCACACACACGGGGGTCGAGTCCAGCGGGGAGTGGATAGTGTCACCCACTCACCCACGCCCATCCACCCGCCTCACGGACAACAGCAACCCCGTGTACCCTCAGACGACACATCAGCAATCGCAGGTGGCGGTGGTGGGGGGTGAGGGGCAGCAGCACTGGGGGATGGAAGGGGGAGGATGGGTGCAGACCAGTGGGCTCTGCCTGAAGCCTGGTGGCGTGTAGAACAGTCTGTGTTGCGTTGCGGGCGTCTGCGTGTCGTATTTTTCATCGTTCAACGTCTGCCTACATGAGACACGCGCACAATTGGATAAGCATTCAGACACCGTCTGGCTTGGAGAAATGCAATGCAATGCACGGATTGAGTGAGGTCATCATTGCATCGACTAGCTACAAATCACTCTAACGAGCATATATGACATGCATGCGCACATGCCGAGAGCCATACACACGCACACACACACGGAGTGCTCCATGCCGACAAACGATGCTACGGGCTCAGAAAGCCACATAAAGACATCTACCAGTAGATGCATAGACGCAAAGCGATGCGAACAAGTAACAAACGTGCAGCTACCCGCATCAATCCAATCAAGCGACTGACCTACCCGTGCACGTGTCTCTAGTCTACTTGTCTGCGCCATAATCTACCTGTGGCTTCAGTGCAGGGGCAGAGGGATAGGAGGGCGGGAGGAAGCTCAAGCCATCGATCAGCGCCCCCCTCTCATTCGCCGTCTGCCTCTCCCTCTCTGTCTCGTCACCAGCGTTGTTCGCCATGCTGGCCGTGTTGGTCTGCCCACTGCTGTATAGCAGCCCCAACTGTGTGTGTGTGGCGCTCGGCCGCTCGTCCTGCATCAACGTGGAAGGCCGGTGGGAGGAGGGGGAGGGGTGGTAGAGAGACAGGGGCGGCTGGGGCGGCAGCGATCGGTCGACGGCTGGCTGCTGGGCCCCTCCTAAGTGCGAGGCGGTGCTCAGTTTCTTGGATTGCCTGTGGTGCATCGTGCCTTGGTGGCCGCCGGTAGCTGTGCTTGCCGATTTTGGTGGTCTGGCGGTGTTGTATGCGTATCTGTATGCACGCCTCGGGCGGCCGGATGGGTCGACGCTGCTGTTGCTGTAGTTGCTGCCATTGGACTCAGCGTCGTTGCCCTGGCTCGGCGTTGCCCCTGTGGGTATAGACGTGGTGTAGTTGTTGTACCTACGCATGACGGAGACATGGACAAATAAGGCAGTCTGTGCACTTCTCGCAGACACGCTTCCTCACTGGTTGACTCTCAGATTCCAAAAGGATGTTTTCGAGGATTTGCTCGATGGTATGGGGTCACCGCGGTCGATTAGCACTGACATAAGGGCCGTCCAGAACCCGCCTGTGCCGGGCATGCGCTGCAGAGACATGTGAACAGCAGGGTGAGTGTACTGCTCTGCTGGTCGGTGTGTGTGCATGTGTGGTGGAGTCGACTTACGCGGATGGCCACAAGGATGATCGAGAAAAAGATAAACAGAAGGATCCCAATGACCTCCACAACTGAATGAATGAATGACCAGCCAGCCAGCGTGTGTCCTCATGTTGTCATGTCTCCTTATCTTCCTCTCACGCCTACATAGGAAGATGTTGTTGGTGCTGGAGAATCTGTCCTCGTCCTGGTCGATATGGAGGGCCACGAGCGTCAGGATGTGCAGGTAAAATATCGACAGCCACCGATCCAGGTACACATCCTTCTTCCGACGCCACGGGTCATTGAATTGCTGCACGTCCACACAAACGAATGTCCTCGTTCCATGCGTGGACACGTGGGGTGTGCTCGTGTGTCTGTCGGTGTGTGCGTTCGAACCAGCAGGACGAGGTATGCGACGATGATGCATGTGATCCACTGCAGCTGGTACATGCCCTGCTTGGGCAGCACTGTGGTGGAGAGGGCGATGAGCAGGTTGCGCGTGATCCACACCACAGCCCACCACACCTTCCCGCTCGCGTACTTGTCCATCAACGCACCATAGAAACTCACAAACCCTGCACGATTCAACGGGCGAAGGAACGGACACATTCACGGTGGGTGCATCTTGGTAAGGGTAGATAGATCACCTATACCCCTACCTCTGTCGCACCATCTGTAGTGGAGGAGTATTGCGAATCTGACGACGACCACATATGTGCCTGCGACGTAGATGAGTATGGCCAGTGCAGTCATCCACAGGAAGGCACGCCACCGGTCGGCGGACTCGCTGGCGCCGCCACATAGAATGTAGGGATACTCGAGCACACTCCACTCGCCAGTAGGGTGCTGCAGAAGATAGATGTCACCCACGCACCGGCCCACTTTACAGACAGGTGCTCATGGGTGTGCGTTGCTCGTTGCTCACCTTGTAGCAGTCGATGGCCACGAACGTCATTCGACAGAAGGCGATGAAGAAGGTCGTAAACACAGTGAGAATCGTCGCATACACCTGGGAGGCAGGAAGATAGGCAGATAGGCAACAGAGACACCGGAATACATACGCAGAAAAGCCTTCGTTGGTCTGCCTCTCGCACATACTGTGGATAGCGGCAGGGGTCTGAGAGTGAGGCTAAAGAGCCGGGTCGAGATGATGATGCTCCGGAGGGGCTTCAGCTCCACATTCGGCGCGGGTCTTGGCGCCAGCATCTTCTTGGCGGTCTCGGCAAGGTTGTGCAGGCTGTGCTGTATCTTGAGCACGGCTTGGTGGGGCAGTCTGCCGATTGACGACATCACCGGAAAGGACATGAATGCGAGCTGCTTGACCTTCTGCTTGCTCGTGCCCTCTGCTATCGTCTCCCTGTTATCCTGGTCGCCGCACGACTCGGCCGATGGAGGCCCTGGTCCCTCCTCATCACAAAACCCCGCCTTGTGTTCCTCGTCCCTCTCCTCTTGCCGCCTGCCTGATGCGTCTCCCTCTTCTGCTTCTTGGTCGGTTGCAGAGGCAATGTGGAGAGCTGTTTCAGGCTGAGAGGGGGGCCCGCCGCTCATTTTCCTCTGGCTGGCGGCGAATCGTGGGCTGACCATGGCCTTGTTTCCTCCGACCGACCGGGGCGTGAAGAGGTCACTGTAGGTGTTGTTGGTGTTCGTGTTGGTGTTGGTGGGGTTGAAGTTGGTGGTCGTCTTGGTGCCGGTGGCAGCGTGGCTGGGGAAGGACTGCAACGCCTCAAACGCATCGGTGTAGTTACTGGAAGAGGACGAGGGCAGGGGGAGGGGAGGGGGCGGGGGCGACGCCGACGAAGCGGCGGCCTCAGGTTCTTCATCTGGGCTGAGGCATGAGGGCGATGGAGCGCGGATCGTCTTGATTCCAAAAAGGCGAAATTGGGTCGAAGCGAAGACTACGCCGGTGCTCTCATTCTGGTGGTGGAAGTACTTGGCAGGAATCGACGATCCCGACTTGGCAACGGTGCGCGGGGGCAGAGACAGAGAGGGCACCGCAGGGCCAGGCATACTACCAGTTTGGGCGTTTGCGAGAGCCCCGTCACTCGCCGCTCCCTCCACTCTCATGTTGTTGCCTCCTCGTCTGTTGCCGTCTTCTGAGGGGTCGGGTGACTCCCTGAGGTCGTCAGCTTCATCGTTTTCGTCTTCACTGTCGCTCAACTCCTCGTTGTCAGCGGAAGACGACTCAATGGCCGGAAGCGGGCGGTCGCCGAACAGCTGTCCTTGTTCCTCTCGTGTCTTCCTGTCAATGAACTCCTCCAGAAGCTGAGCGATCGGTGGAATCAACTGAGACAGGCAGAGACACACGAACAAACAGGGCGGTGTGTGTGTGTGTGTAAGTGTAAGTGGGCGTCCATCAATTCTTGCTGACTTGGGAAACGCCGAAGAGGGTCAGCACGGTAAGTACGAAGACCACGGGCAGGAATAAAGCGAAGTACTGCTGCTCCTCGAATGCGTCGAGCCCGACGCAGTTGAGGCGGAAAGCGATAGGGGTGAAGAGGAAGATTTCGCACGCGCCAAAGAATATCTGGACGTTCTTGGGCAGCCGCAGGTTGAAAGAGTTGATGACGGCAACCTCTTGCAGGAAAACAAAGATGAGCAGTAAGCCGTTGCCCTTCTTGAAGCGCGGTGAAGTGGCCACCCACATAAAGAAGAATGTGAAGACCGGCATGCTGAATATGACAAGGAAGGCCGGACCGGCGAGGTTCGTGGAGCCGCAGTCGAAGCATTTGCCGCTGTGCCTGTAGGGCGCAAAATGGCCTTGGCGGCACTTGCCACACACAAGGTCCTCCCGATTGTCTTCGCATGCATTGGCTACACAAAGAGACACAGACAACAGCGAGACAATACATAATTAATAATTAATCGGGTTGAAGCCTTACACTGATTTCCTGGGCATGCTTCTCTGGGAATGCACATGTAAAGTTCGGCTTGCTGGAAAGGCTTGCTTCGGTCGAACTCGCGAGCCCACCACCCCGGCTCAATCAAAGGGAAATCATCCCCTTCTGAAAGGCAAACACCGGACAACCACATGACGAATGGCAAATTAAATATCCAAACGAACGGGCGCGTACGGTTGCATATCGTGCGTTTCTGGCAGGGTAGGCACACGTCCTTGACAAAAAGGCCCGTCTCTTCTTCTGCCGTTTGATTGACAGACATGGCGGTGCCGTCGGTGCCGTTCGCAGTGTCGCTGACGCTGACGTTGCTCACGGCTATTGCCGGCCTTTTGTAGGTGCGATAGAAGCCCGAAGAGCAGATGCACGCCGTGATGGACGAGGCACCGATCAAAGAGGTGGTTTCGCCGGCAGGACAGCGCGTGCATTCGGTGCTGCCGGGGATGCTCGCGTACGCCCCGAAGTCGCATTTTTGGCAGCTGGTCAGCGCGACGAACTCCGTTTCGTTGATGGCGCTAAAGCTCCCCACCGGGCACTCGATGCATCCATCGGGGCTGTCTCCTGGATTGAAGGTGCCGTTTTGGCAGAACACACAGCCCTGCTGGCCCTCGAGCGGTTGTTCCATGCCTACGAACATGAGACAGGCAAGGGGGCGGGAGGAGCAAAAACAGGCGCCCATGTTGCAGTGTTCACGGGAGAAAGGGGAAAGACGAGCCTACCTCTGGGACATAATCGGCACTGCGTCGCATTTGTCTGGTCCGTGATCCTGTGAGCTGAACAATTTCGGCACTCGATCCCTGAAGCAATGTAAGCAATATGAGGCTAGTTAATGTCTCCGGCTGCCATGAGCCACCACGCAGTGCCACTCAGTGAGAAATCGGTTGAGTGCGCGAGTGCGTGTGTGAGTGAGAGGCTGACTGATTCACCCCCCCACCTGTGTTGAACGTCCCAGGTGGGCATCCAACAAAGCTGAACGAGACACAAGCAGGACATCACTCACCAGCTGTCTCACTGACTCAGACAGAGAAACAGACAAACAGACAGACCGACAGGCCCGTCCTTGTCTGTTGGTCTGCCTGTCTTCTGTCTGCCTGTCTGCCTGTGGGCCTATCTATCTGTCTGTCTGTCTGTCCGTCTGTCCGTCTGTGTTTGTGTAAAGGTCATATGTACGCACCGTGATTGGAAGCTGGGCATGAGGATCTGAATAGGCACTTCGGCAACGGCCTCGGGTGCCACCGCCTTCAGATCGCTGAAGCTGGTGGTCCCTGGGAACTGCTGGAGCAGGACAAAGGCTCCGTTCAGTCGATTATCCTTGTCGAACCGCAGGTTGGCGTCCCAGAAGGTGTCGAAGCTGTTACGCCAGAGCTCCAGCTTGATGGCCGCCCGGTTCGTGTCCATGTCGGGACTCCACTCGGTCAGAAACGAAATGGCAATCGCCAGCAGATGCACTGATGAATGAAGGTGCAAACACGCACAAATACACATGTCATCCCTTCGCCCGCTGCCCGCTGG